GACTGTTACCCATGCTACATCATGCTTCAAGAAAAAATTTCATTTATTTGTAATTAGAAATAAATATTTCACAATATATAATTACATATTGTTTTTGTGATTAATCACTATGCTTTAATTATGTTCAATTTATAACAATAAAAATACATCCTGCATATCAGATATTTACATTACGATTCATAACAGTAGCAAAATTACAGTTACATAGTAGCAATGAAAATAATTTTATGGTTGAGGGTCATCACAACATGAGGAACTGTATTAAAGGGTCACGGCATTAGGAAGGTTGAGAACCAGTGGTTTAGAAGAAGACCCCTTCTGGTGCAGTGAGACTTCTTTCTCCGAAAATAAATTCTGCACTGATTTGAAGTGTCATAGAAATCTATCCAATCCAGCTTAATTCTTTTATGGATTTGTCTTCAGAAATACTAACAAAGGGATAGAGTACAAAATATGCAGAAATTGAATTATTTTTCTATTGCAAAATCGTTAGGATGTGCAATTCACATATCCAGACTCACAAGTGCATGACATCGGATTAGACAGCCTTCCTTCAAGAAATATTATAAAAGGGGAGTAGAAAAGATGCTTTTATGGAATTATGGAATTATTTAGTGAGGCTGATTAAACTTGGTGGTCCTCCTTGTAAATGTAACTTTGCCCCACTTTTCCCCACAACTCCAAGATATCATTGAAGAGGAGGGACAGAAAGCATATAATTCATAATGAAATCTTCACTTATATTTTCTTTTTCTTTTAGTGCTATAAAATGAGCTGCCTTGAAATTCAAGGTCCACGTGGTCCAAAGGGATTTCAAGGACAAAAGGTAAAGATATAAGGGCAAAGGGGACAATAAATATGTAAGAAGACAGAACAGATTGTGTATTATACAATACAAGGTTTTCAACAGAAATCCCACATTAATGGCTCAAAAATACCAAAGATTCAATTTCAGAAGTGTGACTATCATGCATCCATGGGTTGTAGCTTTGGGAAAACGAAGTGAGGAAGTGATGTAATGCTTCAGTCTACACAGTAATCACATTTCATTAATAATTCAGCACAGTCACTTATCTTTAGACCATGTATATACAGATTAACCTGAATTGTGTTTCCTAAAAATTGCAGAGAAAAATACATTTGGTTTTTTTAAATATATATATTCCCTTAACATCAGCCTTTTTATGAATCTGATATATGACACAAAGATGTACGATTCTGTATAAACTTTTCCTGATTATATTTCATTTAATATAATATTTCCGATATTAATTTTTGCTTTTTGGGTTGTAGGGAAAGGATTAGTAGACAAATTTATATAATGATCATTCTTCTAATATACAAATTTCTGTAGTACTGTCTATGTTGTTCCATAAGTTTTACATGAAATTATTGAGCAAAGTACAATAGACTTAATGCCATAATTGATGAGTCAACTTTTGCTATGATTGTACCAGATGTTTACATTCATGATTTAGACAGTTGCATAACTGAGAATTGCAGTCTATACCCTATAAATCTGCATAGTTGAGAACTATACAGCTACATGGTTCTGTAGTATTTGAAGACATGTTTGCTGTATTTAGAATATAAGCACTTCATTGGCAATTCAGCTTCTTACATATTTGCAAAGAGAAGTATGTAAAGAAGCAAAAGTAAGTTTTCTAGCCTAGAATCCTATATTCTCTTTTCTGGAACAAGTGACCTTGAACTTTGCTTCCAAAGGCTGACATCAATGTTCTTTGGCATTTTTAAAATAAAAAATTAGAAATGCTCTTGCAGGATCAATCTGCTGAGACATTTCAAGAAGCTTAGGAAATTGGCCAGAAAACTTTGGACTCACTTACAAAATAACAGCAGGCACATGGAACCTTAGTATTATGGGTCCTATACATATATACATACATACATACATACATACATACATACATACATACATACATACATACATAAATACATACATACATACGTACGTACGTACGTACGTACGTACGTACGTACGTACATACATACATG